GGATAAAAAGAATAATTATCCATGGATTGAGACCCGAATATCGAGGCTTCGTTGCCGCTATACAAGGATGGCCAAGATGCGAGAATTACTTGACACTCAAATTAAACCCTCGTTTGACAATTGTAGTAGAATGGATAAGTGAGGGATCGTTCTAGACCGGGGATTAGGAGGGCTTGCTAAAACCTTCTAAATTGACTTAAAAACATAAAAACTCAATATAAAACACTATTTAATGCTCGAAGAAAGCAAAACTAAAAATAAGAAAGATTAAGACTAAGACTTCAACGAAATAGGGGGGAATGGGATTTGGACGAATTTAAACTAAAATGGATACTTGGAAACAAAACAAATTGTAAATATGGATAGATTGTAAACAAGTGTTGTGAAATTAGATGGTTGGTGAATTAGCTAGAGGTTCTTTCTCCACACATGATATTTATGCATATGAATCAATTTCCAGTTATTCCTTCATTGAATTATGAACGACAATGCCCCAAATTAACCGTGACATCACTAGTTAACCCTCAGATTTTCCTTATATTATTGGATTGGATGACATCATTCGACAACCCAAAACATTCTCAAAAGTTCCCTACATGTCATCATAATAGAGATACAATCGAAGATCATTAAGAATAATGAAAACCATAAGCATTGACAAAGCATTTGCAACTATGACATCATGTTACTCATGCTAAGAATTAAACTTAACGCGATCGTGACAAGCGACCTTCACTACTTTCAAGTATAAGTTAGTAACGATTATGTGAAACCTTCTTAAACTTTAGCCACATACTCATGCATGCTAATTAAGTGTCGACCCTCAATCAACAAACACAAATAAGTTAATCATCAAATAGTTAAGCCAATTGCATTCACGAATCAAGAGTTCATAACCGGAATTCATCAATTCATATTACATAAATAATCATGGTATTGAAATCACCCCTAGCCAAAAAGGGTTTAGTTCCTCATAACTTTAAAATCAAAGAAACACCTAAACATTCTAACAACTCAAACGTGAATTGTATGAACGTTTAGGCACTCTTCTCTTCCATTCCTCATATTACAAAACAAAGAGAATTGAATTTAAACATTGAAATCAAAGAAACGCGTAAACATTCCAACAACTCAAACGTGAATTGTATGAACGTTTAGGCCCTCTTATCTTCCTCTTTATTGTGGCACAAGGACTAAGGGATGTTGTTGGTGTGTTGAATGGATTGGGGGATTATGGAAATGGAAGAAATGGAGGAGAAATGGAAGGAAATGGAGAGAAACTCACGGCTAGGGAGAAGATGGAAGTGTTTGTGGTGTGTTGTGTATGAAATGAGATGATCTTTGAATGAATGAATGCAAGGGTATTTATAGGAGGAGTGGAGGTGTATATGGTTGTTTGTTTAATGTGTTTGTGTATTATGATGAATGCATGTGAGTTAAAGAGGGAGAATGTGGTGAAATGATGAAGTAGGAAGGTGGAAATGCATGTGAGATGTTGGAAAGGAAATGGGAATATGAGTAGGCCACGGCATGGGAGTTATTTTGTTGGTGTAAATGTGCCATGGTTGCAATGATAAAGAATAAAGGGTGCATGTGGGGTGGAATTGAATGAATGCAAAGTGAATGAATAATGAAATGAGTTAAAGAGGGAGAATGTGGTGAAATGATGAAGTAGGAAGGTGGAAATGCATGTGAGATGTTGGAAAGGAAATGGGAATATGAGTAGGCCACGGCATGGGAGTTGTTTTGTTGGTGTAAATGTGCCATGGTTGCAATGATGAAGAATAAAGGGTGCATGTGGGGTGGAATTGAATGAATGCAAAGTGAATGAATAATGAAATGAGTTAAAGAGGGAGAATGTGGTGAAATGATGAAGTAGGAAGGTGGACATGCATGTGAGATGTTATGCATAGTTTAAATGGTTGAAATGTGTAGATGATTATGAGTATGATAAGTGATAAATGAATGATATGTGGTGAGTGATAAGTGAATGGAAGTGATAAGTGATAAGTGAATGGAAGTGATAAGTGAAAGGTTTGATAAGTGATAAATGAATGATATGTGGTGATAAATGAATGATATGTGGTGAGTGATAAGTGAATGGAAGTGATAAGTGATAAATGGACTAATTTAAAGGGCTAGGGTTTAAGTACATAGAATGGGCCTAAAATAGGTTGGTTTGCATGGCATAATATGTTTGATTGGGCTAGAGGTTTTCCATGGCTCAAAGGATTTGTTTGATTGGGCTAGGCCCTTTGTTTGATGTCCCCAAAGAGCATACAAGGCTTCAATTTCGTCCATCCTCTTTGCTCCATGATTAAGCTATCCAATCCATGCCCAAAAGTGCCCCAAATAGCCTCAAAATGCACTTTCTTGCTCCCTAAGCCCTTAAAACCTGAAAACACACAAAAGAAGCATAAAGGACTAAAATAACTATGAATTACCAACATAGATGCACGAAAACAAGCTAAGTAAGTCGCCTAAATATGCTCCTATCAGCCAACCCAACCATCATTTGTTGAGTTTGAGAATTTGCTTGCTGATCAAGAAGCTTTGGCAAAGCAAATGGGAGGGGTCTTGTTAAGAGGTGAGGAGGAAGCGCTCTACACCAAAAGTAAAGGCAGCTTTAAGCAGTATGCTGGTGATAGATCTAAAATAAATGATGACAAGGAAAAAGGTCATCAAGGAGGAGGGAGTTCTCGACCAGGAGGAGCTCCAAAGTATCACGGCAACTGTGATCAGTCCCAGAATAATAAAAGATTTGAGGGCAAGTGCTACAATTGTGGAAAGAAGGGCCACATGGCGAAGGATTGCTAGTTCAAAAGGCCTGTAGAAAGTAACGTCGCCAACTTAGAAAAGAAAAGTGAAGATGATTGGGACGTCGTTACGTCTCTAGCCCTGGAGGAAGAATGAGACGCTGAGGCATCTGTTGCTATAGAGAAGAAAGAGTCAGCTCTCACAGCAACAAGTCCAAAGTCGATTGACTACCAGAATGATTGGATCGTGGATTTAGGCTGCTCAAACCATATGACAGATGATGAGAAAAAGTTACACAATCTGATTGAGTACAAAGGAGGTCGCTTAGTAGTGACGGCTAACGACTCGAGGCTACCAATTGCTCACATCAGTAAGACAGTAATTGAGCCCCGATACAGCATTAACCATGTGCCGCTTCAAGATGTCTACCAAGTTCCAGGTATGAAGACAGTAATTGAGCCCCGATAGCTTGTGTCGTAATATTTTCCTGTGTGTAATACAAGTAATTAGTTTACTTGTATTGTCTCTCCAACACTTGTGTTAGAGTTGAGTTCTCTAAGTTTTTCCCCAACAGGTAATGTTATGGAACCAGTTTAAATCACTTTCACCATTCCACTGCAACATCACGAGAAAATCACTGAGCACAAATATTTGTTTATACGGAGTGCGAAAATCCTATGACTGACTTGAATACCCTTGATCGGTTATTGAGTAGCAAACATAGATGTAGGCTAGTAGGCTAGAAGTTTGCTGAGAATGTATATACTAGAATTACAGCTCAGTTTCACCACCTGGATTACACGCTAAGCGTGCATTTTGATGTGCATAACTTGCAGGTGAAGAATGAGACTTGGGCTTTGTGGACATGGTACCGGAACCAGGACTCCGACAATAAAATTGGAGATCAAATTTATATAGTGAGGCAGCCTGATAAATGCCGCATCCGCCATGTGTTCGAAAGTTGGCTTGCTGACCTCTAAGTCTCACTGCTGCTTGCTGGGAAAATTATTATTAAGATCCCAAATCAGTTGACCATTCTTATCTAGATAGGAATAGGACGGAAGGTGCATAAAGAGTAGGAAGATGGGGTTTCACCTATGTATACACACTATAAATATATATATATATATATATATATATTTGGGGTTGGTGGGGGTTGGGTGAGGGCATAGGGAGAGAGAGAGCGCAGAAGAGGAGCAACTCCGCTATTGCTGTATGTAAATGATAAAATCTCATTTATACATCTCCATTGTAACTTGAATGTATACTCTCTCAACCAATTTATACAACAACAAACGTGTAAGATTTGTTCCTGGAGCAATTTCGGATATCAAATTCTAAACTAATTGCGTCTCTTGTTGAGTTATTGCAAATTGGTTCAACTGATGAACCAAAAATTTCCCCTCCGCTTATTGTGAAGCCGAGAAATTTTTTGAAGTGACTTTTATTTGTCACTTGGTGTTACCAGTTCACTAATGTTATGGTGGTACTACTTATAAGGGTGGTGTTTCGACAAAATCATTAGCTCCCGAGCTCACACTGCATCCCATCTATAAGTCATTCGGAGTTTGGACGGAGTGATGAGGTTCGCTATAACCTCCGTACAAAAAATCTTCAACAACTTCCCGTTCATTGTATTCTCCATTGAATTCCAGGCCAGAGGTTCCACCTCCATCTCTAGAGATTATCATCACCTGTTGTTTCTGTGAATAATATAATTTCTTACCGTCCCTTGTCCAAAGCATTTGTAATATTGTGCCAATTATGTTATATATTTGCAGGATGCATAGCAATTTGGTGTCAGTAAAACTTTGTCTGCCGCATATTTGATCATGTTTTAACTTAGGAACTTCATGGTCTAGTTAATTTTGACGGATTTGAAAGGCTTCTAAAACAAATTAGAATCAAACTTTCGAATTTACTACCCCAAACAAATTGCACTGCAAATTACCATAATCAGAATTCATCTGGTCATGTACATACTACATAACATTTACTTAGGATATGAAATGGTGAGATCGATAAATTCGAAATCATCATTATATTGTTGTTCTTATTACATTAATATAGATATATGTAGCCACTATATATACCTATTAGAGTGAATACCATACCAATGCCCCACAATTTGTTGTCCCGACACAATCGGCCGGATTCGCAGCGTTGTAGTCAAAACAGATGACGATTTCCAGCAGATAGCTCACCCCAACATACTTGCATATAAGGAGAGGTTTTTTTCCCTCCTATAGTCCTTCAAGGTCGATGTAACGATATTGATATCCTGGTACAATCCCAGTTGTTTGAGACAATAGATGTTGTGCATTGTAGGTAAACCATAATCTATAAGCTTCATGGAAGTATTGTGTCTGGGAAAATTTATTGTCCGAGCACCTGCCGTGCTTGTTGTACTCATGCGCCCAGAAATCCATATTTGTCCGTCTAATGTTGAAGTTGTGCCAGGAATTGGACAAAAGTAATTGCAGAGAATGATCAGGATTCATCTGAAGCACAAAGACGAGAAGTTACAAGCATTTCAGAGAGCTGCAGGAGAAAAAACAAACTGAAATGGGTATATATATTCGATGTGTACCTCATTTCTGTTGAATACGGTACCAGCGCAGAGTATAGGTGCAGATGGATCGGTAAAGTTGCTCGGCCAGAGGCCGTGTGTCGTAAAGGTATGCCGCAGAACTGGTTGGTTTCCACAAATTCCATTCCGGAGGCAGAAGACGAATGGGGATTGCTGGACGAATTGGAAGATATCATATGGTGTGGCAGCATTGCTCTTTCCGAGATAAGTGACGAAGCATAGAGCGATGACAACGAGAACAATCTTGAAGAAGTGCATGGTTGTCAAGCAATTATCAAAAGAACAAAGGGTGGCAGGGAGGATGGGATGAGAAATAATAAGGAAAGCTAAAGAGTGAAGCAAGTGTGAATTTTCAAAGAAATGAAGAGGTGTTTAAATAGTTAGAGTTGATTAAGGTGAAGCTAACTAGCAAAGATGATAATAATTAAGGTCAAGTAAGTGTGAACATATCCTGAACTAGGGAATGCCTCTTTCTTGTTATGCAAGGCTTTGCATTCTCATATGCATGCTATAAAGGGTGGTAACCGTGTAGTGGTTGATTCATCATCAACCCAATCAACCCAATTATAGTGGTTCCTCATGTATCAGATTCAGACCCTAAGCAAGCTAATAGTCTCATTTTTTAGATTATAATTCTATTTTAGAAATCCATTCAGGACCACGCTAGCTAAATATGGTTCCAATCGAATAAATACAGAAACGATTTGGACATTGTTTGTGTATCTTATCTTGTAAATTGGAGTTTCAACCACTACCTTCTAGCAGTGGTAATTCTTATCTTTGAAATTTTGGAGCTCTCCTTTCCATGGTTTCTATTCAACTTACTTATCCCGTTTGCAGATAATTAATTATCTTGTGGATTAAGTAAATAGCTATTTAAATTTGCTGCTACTCACCCTGGAGCTAGCCTTCGGACCAGGGAAATCATATTGTCCTATAGACACCAGCTTCGTTGCTGCAAGGCGACACCGCAGGGTGGATATCTGCGGGTACTCGTCATTTCATTTCATGGTTGTATTGCTTCACATTTGCAGATTGTTAACACAACATGCCTTCCGTTTAGTTAATTCATTAATAAACATGATCAAATATACAACATACAAATAGTTAGAATTGAGGTTAAGTGTAGAGTGTAGAGAAAGATTAAGTTGAATCTAGCCAGCAAAGATGATAATAATTAAGGTCAAGTGAGTGTGAACATATTCGGAATTAGGGAATGCCTCTTTCTTGCTGCCCAAGGCCATGCATTCTCATGCTATAAAGGGTAGTAACTGTGTAGTGGACGATTCATCATCAACCCAATTATATAAAGTGGTTCATCATATATCACATTCAAACCCTAAGCTAGCTAGTAGTCCACATTTTAGATTATAATTCTGTTTCAAAAATCCATTCAGGACAACGCTAGCTAAACATGGTTCCGAACGAAAAAATACAGAAACGATTTAGGCATTGCTTGTGTATCTCATCTTATAAAAATGTACAACTTACAATACACTTAATTTCGAACATTGTTTGTGTATCTCATCTTCTTCGTTGAAAGGCAACACTGCAGGGTGGATATCTGCGGGTAGCCATCATTTCGTTTCTTGGTTGTATTGCTTCATATTTGCAGATTGTTGAACATGCCTTTTCTGTTTAGTTAATTCATTAATCAAACATGATCAAATATACTCGTAAATTTTTAATCGACTCCAAGTTTCTTAAAGACATCCGTAATTTGGACAACAAAAGGATTTCATTACTTTCGATGTCTACGTACACATGTACTTGTTGCCTTCCGTGACCGAAACCATACTCTTCACATATACAACGGGTGAATGATTTGCTTTGCACTCTGGAAAATAAGAAGGTGGCAGAGGAAAAATGGGAATAATCCTTACAGCACTTTGAATGGGTAGATTTTTTAACTTTTTAGTGCCGAGGTTATAGCATACTATGCCTCCATTTTCCTCTAACATAAGAACCTCGTTGCTTTTCCACATTGCCGATGTGTTCTGCAGGAGCAAGGGGGACAATGAGAACCATGGGATCTTGGCAGCAAAGTGTTTTGTCCAAACACCGCCCTCATTATTCGCACCACCACGAGAATCATCATCCATGAGCCACATTTCAAAGGGTAGTGTATCACCACCTTCAAAAGTATTATAATTCAAGCGAAAAAGAGCGATGGATTCATTCCACACCTTAAGACACATTTGAATACCAATTCCTTCGAAATCATTGAACTCTAGCATCTCATGTGGTAACAGTATGTCATGAAACACCTCACGACTCATGTCAAACAAAACGATCACTCGCCTAATCTTTTCTTCCTCCTGACGGCCAGCATCATAGAAATGGACAAATTCCTTTTGTTGCTCACTTCCTATCCAATAACACATCCCCTTGAAGTACACCTGAAAAGTTTCAGGCCAAAGGAAAGTAGTTTCCGTTTCTAAAGAACAAGGCTCGATCTCTCTCCAAGAATTAGTTCCCAAGGTATACACCACTACCTTGAGAGGATGAATAATCAAATGTTGTGTGCCGCCATGCAATTCTGAACAAGAAAATCCAATTTTGACAACTTTGTAATCTTTAGATTTAGGATCATAGCCTAATCCCAAAACATCATGGAACCGATTTGTTAGTGGCATGTAAGGCATATCCAACCACCAAGGATGAGGATCCCTAAGGGATGCTTCCTCGAACCAATCTGGAATGTATGTCTCCGAGGGAAGGACCCTGAATTCCTGAATTGCCGGATTCCACAAAAGCACCTTAGTAGAATTAGGTCGAGCTAGACAAATGATCCCATTACAATGACCTACAACGTGAAATGATTGATCATCTCCAATCTCTAGACTCATAGCAAGAGGAACATCGAAGTCCTCGATCCCAGAAAGAGTGCTACACTTGTGCACAACACCATCGTCGTCATCAACAATGACATTGTCAAAAGTAAGTACTGAGAATACGGATTGAAATTTGTCCCTGTTTGGGTCCTCTGTAGAAGGGAATAACATTCGCTTCAAAAGGACACGAGTGGATTGATCGTCCAGCAAGGAATGGGAGAGGTGCTTGTCGACGAACCTGGGATCGTTGATGAGAGCATGCCACCATTTAGCGACGCACTTGAATCGCATCAGAGATTTCGGAGGCAGAGTTGACAGAATATTCACCAACAAATATTGTCCAATTTTGGATGTTTTGTTCGTCATTTGTGCAATGTCAATTATGGACCTCACCCTTGTTCTTCTACACACACAAAAAGATCAGAAGATTCCACAATCACACATTCTCTCTAATTAAGCAGATTCTCAAAAGCTCATCATCATCTGGCATTGCTATTTCTTGTTTAAAAAAAAAAAAAAAAAAAAAACTCATGGATACATTCAAAAATTTAACCCTACTGAAAATGCCAATTGAAATTCAAAAGCGAAATAAGAATTGAAGCAAAAAAAGTATCCTTCTTTCGTTTAAAAAAAATATAAACTGAAATTGAATAATAAAAAGCTAGAAATAAAGCTAGAAATTCGGCCGCGGTTTGCAGTCCCCAATTTAGTGTCTTCTTTGTATACCCTCCGCACTCTCACATAATATATATATATATATGTATGTATGTATGTATGTATATGTATATGTATGTATATGTATGTATATGTATATGTATATATGTATATATGTATCAATGTATACCCTCTACACTCTCACATAACTCTAACCTTCTAACCACCTTGCCACCTATACAACAATCTCAATTAATTACTAGTCTAATACAACAACCACAAAAAACTAACTAGCTCAAAGTTTTATCACCAATTGAATCTTTAACAATACTATCGTGTTGTGTAGCACCCGTTAAAATAAACGTGTAAAATGGTCCGACCCGAAATCGACCCGATAATATTAACAAGTAATATGATCCAACCCGTTACCCGTTAAGGAAAATATATTTTAAACCAATAAATAATCAAATAAAAAACATAATATTAAATAAGTATATACATACCATATTATCACATTCAAAACATAAAAACGCATTTGTCTTTCAAGTATTACAAATTTACATACCCAAAATAAGAGCATAATAATAAAAAATAAAAAAAACATTAGAACGTTACAAAATATCAAATGTTTAAAAGATTTGCAAAATTAAGGGAGTTATGTTTCAAGGTTTGGAACCTTGCACATTTTCTTACAATCAAACTCTTCAATTTTCATCAATCACTATAGGAAACGGTATTGGAACTTTAACTTGATATATTGTCTTCAAGAGTTATATTGATGATATGTTCAGCGAGACTTTCTACATTAGCACTCTCTTCTCATTTATCCTATGGCTATTGTTTAAGTAAAGTCTTTAATAGTTTTTTAATTAATGTAAAAGTGTGAAAAAATATATATAAACGCTCGTAATGACAAGCTTTACAATTTTCGTGAAGGGATTAACTTTGAAATGTGTCACTATAATCATATAAATCATAGATCAAAATTTAATCGTTGATTGTTGTTTACATTTATGCTTCATTTTTCTCACCAAAGTTTGTTTGTTTGTTTTTTTTTTTTTTTTTTTTTTTTCAGATTTTCTTTTTTGAAAACATGATCTATTAGAAGATACAGGAAGATGAACAGTTCGGATCGTTGACATTATGTTCAGAGTTTTACCATTAGTGAAAATATTGCTTGGTGTTTATAAAGTCTCTACAAACTATATAACACCGACTCATATTTCAATTAACAGTAAATATCGGGACGTGATATCAAAGATCCGAACCATTCATCTTCCTACATCCCCCAGAAGATCATGTTTTCAAAAAAGAAAATTTTTAAAATGAAATTCAATATAAAGAATAAAGCCTAAACGACAATTGACAGTTAAATACAAATTTAAGGTTTATGGATTATAGTGTCGAATTTCGAAGTTGAACCCTTCACAAAAGTTGTAAAGCTTGTCACAATAAGTGATTGTGTGTGTGTGTGTGTATTTTTTTTTTACATTTCTTACACTTCTACAATAATTATTGGGAATTATTATTAACACTCCAAAAATCTCATTGTACACTCCTCACAAGTGTAGTTTTCTTATTAATTATAGAAAGTTTGGAGTGCAAAATGAGATTTTTGAAGTGCCAATAACAATTCCCTAATTATTATTAATTTTATTACTTTTACACTCAAATAAAAAAACACCACTCATGACGGTAAGTGTAACCATTGTCTACTCGTGGAGGAATGACGAATCACGAGTGTTTATATATTCTTTCACATTTTTCATACTTGTAGGGATGTCTCATTGCCTATACTAATACTATACTCGTTGATTTTAATTTTGGACAACAACTTGTTGAGTAAAATTTATCCTATTAATGATAATAAGAAACTCTCATAATAAAAATAAATAAATGGATAAAACTTTTTTTTTTTTAAAACTTATATAGAATAATAATATAAAATATATATATATATATATATTTAATATATAATATACCAATATATACAATAAGACCATTGTATTTTATAATAAATTTTTTAGTAATTAAACTTTAAAATTATAATTTATTTTTCTTAACGAGTCGAAACGGGATATCCACGTGTTACATGCGTATATACCTGTTAAGAACCCGTTATTAACGGGTTCTTAACGGGTCACCCGATAATGATCCGATTAGTTATTGTGTTGATCCGAAATCCGTTATTTTCGTATTGTGTCACTGTGTTGTGTAAGAAACTATCGGGTCTAGCCCAGGCCCATCGCCAATCCAGCCCGTTGAACCCAAACCCTTGACCCTTTGAAACCAGGCTTTTGGGCCTAGAACCCTTCAGCCCAAACCCACCAGCCTAACCTAGAAGGAATATTTCGTCAGGGAATACTCTGTCAAGGAATATTCTTTGGAATATTTTTAGTGTTGACTTTTTGTTGACTTTTTCGAAACTTACCTAGGATCCTTCTTAGGGTAATTCAACGTCTTGAATCCATTTTCGACGTCTGTTTTCCCAAATACAATCGTTTGAATAGAGTTTTATTAATTGGACCCCTTATGTGCTTATGTGCAATTATTAGCGGCGATTTCGTCATTCCTATTTTATACGGCTCTACAACAACAGAGTATCTGTGAGTGGACCCCTTCTAAAATGCATGTTTTAATAGTAGAAATGCATACATGAAAATCATGATTTAATTATTACGTTGTATGAAACGTTTTTATGAGATATTATACTTACTGAGAATATTTTGAATTACCATATTTTATCGAACTCATGTTTTTTGTAGTATAGATGATGGATGACTTTATACTACTTATGAACATCCTTTTGCACCAATATCAGTTTATACGGATGCGAAATCCTGTGACTGACTTGAATACCCTTGATCGGTTATTGAGTAGCAAACATATGGATGTAGGCTAGTAGGCTAGAAGTTTGCTGAGAATGTATATACTAGAATTACAGCTCAGTCTCACCACCTGGATTATACACTAGGCGTGCATATTGATGTGCATAACTTGCAGGTGAAGAATGAGACTTGGGCTTTGTGGACATGGTACCGGAACCAGGACTCCGACAATAAAATTGGAGATCAAATATATATAGTGAGGCAGCCTGATAAATGCCGCATACGCCATGTGTTCGAAAATTGGCTTGCTGACCTCTAAGTCTCACTGCTGCTTGCTGGGAAAATTATTATTAAGATCCCAAATCAGTTGACCATTCTTATCTGGATAGGAATAGGACAGAAGGTGCAGAAAGAGTAGGAAGATGGGGTTTCACCTATGTATACACACTATATATTTGGGGTTGGTGGGGGTGGGTGAGAGAGAGAGAGAGAGAGAGCGCAGAAGAAGAGCAACTCCGCTATTGCTGTATGTAAATGACAAAATCTCATTTATACATCTCCATTGTAACTTGAATGTATACTCTCTCAACCAATTTATACAACAAAAAACGTGTAAGATTTGTTCCTGGAGCAATTTCGGATATCAAATTCTAAACTAATTGCGTATCTTGTTGAGTTATTGCAAATTGGTTCAACTGATGAACCAAAAATTTCCCCTTCGCTTATTGTGAAGCCGAGAAATTTTTTGAAGTGACTTTTATTTGTCACTTCGTGTTACCAGTTCACTAATGTTATGGTGGTACTACTTATAAGGGTGGTGTTTCGACAAAATCATTAGCTCCCGAGCTCACACTGCATCCCATCTATAAGTCATTCGGAGTTTGGACGGAGTGATGAGGTTCGCTATAACCTCCGTACAAAAAACCTTCAACTTCTTCCCGTTCATTGTATTCTCCATTGAATTCCAGGCCAGAGGTTCCACCTCCATCTCATAGAGATTATCATCACCTGTTGTTTCTGTGAATAATATAATTTCTTACCGTCCCTTGTCCAAAGCATTTGTAATATTGTGCAAATTATGTTATATATTTGCAGGATACATAGCAATTTGGTGTCAGTAAAACTTTGTCTGCCGAATATTTGATCATGTTTTAACTTCGGAATTTCATGGTCTAGTTAATTTTGACGGATTTGAAGGGCTTTTAAAACAAATTAGAATCGAACTTTCGAATTTACTACCCCAAACAAATTGCACTTGAAATTACCATAATCAGAATTCATCAGGTCATGTACATAACTACATTCTACATAACATTTACTTAGGATATGAAATGGTGAGATCGATAAATTCGAAATCATCAATATATTGTTGTTCTTATTACATTAATATAGATATATGTAGCCAGTATATATACCTATTAGAGTGAATACCATACCAATGCCCCACAATTTGTTGTCCTGACACAATGGACCGGATTCGCTGCGTTGTAGTCAAAACAGATGACGACTTCCAGCAGATACGCGATCCCCCCATCATACTTGCACATAAAGAGAGGGTTTTTGCCTCCTATAGTCCTTCGAATGGCCGATTCAAGGTCGATGTAACGATATTGATATCCTGGTACAATCCCAGTTGTTTGAGAAAATAGATATTGTGCATTGTAGGTAAACCATAATCTATAAGTTTCATGGAAGTATTGTGTCTGGGAAAATTTATTGTCCGAGCACCTGCCGTGCTTGTTGTACTCATGCGCCCAGAAATCCATATTTGTCCGTCTAATGTTGAAGTTGGGCCAGGAATTGGACAAAAGTAATTGCAGAGAATGATCAGCACTCATCTGAAGCACAAAGACGAGAAGTTACAAGCATTTCAGAGAGCTGCAGGAGAAAAAACAAACTGAAATGAGTATATATATTCGATGT